GTCAAATGCCTTAGGCACTACACGACCAGAACTCCCAGCTCTGTTCTGTGCTTAGAATTAGGGGTTCTTGTGCTAAAGGAAAAACAGATACAGCATGCATGCAGGATTAGTTACCAATCTTCCAAAAGTTAGATAGGGCAGTGAGTAATTAAGAAAGGAATGTTTCCTGTGAGCTCTCCATAGTGAGGTAATCTTTAAGAGAATTTGTTGGTGTTTATCAAAGCCTAGGTGACCTGTCCTAAAGTTGGGCCAGAAGACTTTACTGACATAGATGCCTCTGTCTTAGATCACAGGATGCAGCAAGACATGATAGCTGTAGTTAGAAGTTAGTTATAACACAAGCTTGAAGCCAGGTTTTTTAAAAATGGCATCATAACTAAAACTATGAAGTTTCATTCTAACAATAAGGGGTTAGGCGTAACAAAGCAAAAATCTTTATCCTCACACAGTGATCTGGAGTATACATCTCCTTTCATGTTCCTGACTAGGAAATTCATTTTTTCTCTTATTTTCTTGACTAAACCTGCAAAAAGTTTATCAATTTAATCCGTTACCAAAAAAAAAAATTTCTTCATTTTTTCCTTGTAATTGCTTTCTGCTTTTACTTTTATTTTCAACCTCTTTTAAGTTGTTCTCTTTCCTGCTCCTTAAAATGAAAATTTAAGTCATTGATTTCTTTAACACATTACATTTTCTAAAATATGTATGCTAAAATATAAAAGGACAATGTAAATTGTCCTTTTAGCATTGCTTTCCCTAAATCCCATGAATTTGGATAGATTATATTTTACAGTTATTATGTTCAAAATACATTCTGATTTACAATGTGATTTTTTTTTCTTTGACCCAAATTATTTAAAGCCTGTTACTTTATCTCCATATCTGTCACTCTGCTAAGGAACTCTGGTGGTGCAATTGTTAAGTGTGTGGTTGCTAAATGACAGTGTTGTAGTTTAAACCCACCTGGCAGCTGTGTGGGAGGAAGACCTGATGACATGTTATATAAACTTTACAGCCCAGAAAACCCTAGTAGCAGTTCTATTCTGTCACATGGGGATGCTTTGAGTCAGAATCGAATGGACAGTACTCAGCATTTTTTTCTGCTATTGATTTCTAGTTAGATTCCACCCTGCTCAAAAACTATATTCTGTATCATTTTGATTTTCTTTGATTATTTTGAAAGTATTGAGACTTTCATTATGACTGTGTATGAACTCTTTTAGTAAATGTTACATGTGTATTAGAAAACTTGTATTCACTCTTTGTTAGGATCAGTGCTCCGAATATGGCTATAATTTCAAGTTATTCAATGTGTCTGTGTCCTAATGATTTTTGGTTTGTCATTTACTAACAAAGTTGTGTTCCAATATCCACAATGATAGTAAATTTGTTCATTTCTTCTTTCAGTTCTTTCAACTCTGCCTTTATATGCTTTGAATCTATATAAGATGCTTACAAAATTAAAATAATTATATCTTCTTGCTAGATTGATCCTTTTTGTCATTATGAAATGCACTTCTTTACCTCTAGTAGCATTTTCTCCTTAGTTCCCTTTGTCTGATAATAGTATAGTAATAAAGTTTTCTTTTGCTTAGTGTTTGCACAATGTCTTGACATAATTTTTTGTCCTCTTAATCATCTTGTGAACTTACAAAATTATATCTTACAAAGAACAAATGGTTATTTAGGGTCTCATAAACAG